CTAGGTCTCCCTACCTTCCTTCACCGCCTGCGCCTGCGCAACAGGGCAAGCCTAGTTTCTAAGTTTAGATCCCCGCCACGATCGGTTTTCTCGCAAAACGAGCTGCTCGTTTTGTGGGGCGAGAAGAGAAATCTCGGCCATGGCCGGCCTTCTCGCTGAACGTGTGGCTCGAACTGCGGGGCGAGAAGAGAAATTGGTCACGAGACGAGAAGTATTTCTCGTGACACGAGACGGGAAGTATTTCCTGTTCTCGGGACCGGTCCTGGCGGGAAGTAGGTCAGCTTACCGGTCTTCTCGCTCGGGAAGGAAAAAGTGCTTCCTGCCCGTCTCTACTATCAAGGCACCCCAAAATAGCAGGTCACAAGGGAGTGACAAACATACAAAAGAAGTAGAGGAAAATGACAATAATAAGGATCCGTAAAGAAAAGGCAGCAGTTCTCTGTTGTAGATCAGGCACAGTTATGAGCGTGACATGAGTCAGCCCATTTACAATTGTACTATGCTTGAACGAGAAATGTCCCCCCTTTGGGGATGGCCTAAAGACCCTACAGTCAGTTGCACTGCCGCGGGGGGTTCGTAATCGTGTCCTTTGCACTCAAGACTGTGCATTCTGGCGTAATTCCCGTTCACTATGGAGTGCACTATTGGATTCTATTCGGAATCCAATGATGGGCAAAGAGGGAAACATTGCGTCAAAGATAGTACATAACAAGATGGGTCACTCAGCCAAAAAAGTGTCCGCCGGAAGTTCGCTCTTTGCTTCAGATGGCGCTGCAGTCTGTTTTGAAGCTTTCGTTCGTTTTTCCAGAAGAAGAATAGGAATAGCACCTCCTTGCGTGCGCAGATCGACTGCTGTTCATCAGCAGCTCGGGTTCGTTCAGTGTGGAGTTTTAGGGTTTTGATTTTGATGACCTCTAGCCTTTCATTCTAAAGTCAAATTAAACGAAGAAAACAATCACCCTGTCCTCCGGTAGAGGTTTTTTTTTGTCAGCGTAACCATTTTAAAAAAGCGTTCTTCCGAAATTCATTCAAAAACTTGCTAGTTTCGCTTTGATTTTTTTAAAACTCAAGTAGGATAACTCTGTTCGCAAAAGGTGCGCCACCGAATTTTGAGGACACTATTTTAATTTGGTCAAAGAGAGAAGTGGCCCCTCTTGTTATGTAGACTCTTTGATTGCGTGCACACACGGCTATAACGAGACTTGTGTTTTATCCTTCAATTTCGCGTCCATGGTGCGCACCAGTGCAGTGAAGTTTGTATAGAGAGTTGACAGAGTGACTGATCAATGACATTAATTATAGTTTATGCTGGGTTTATGGGAATCACCTATTTGTGGGGCATCGTGGTGAAATGAGTCGTTCGTCATGCGTCAAAATAAGGAAATCGGGGAAACAAGCATTTTCCACCAGTTTGACAATTTTTATCGAACTTTTGTTGTAGGTCGTTGGTTGTTTTTTTAGTTGTTGTTTTTTTTGCTCAAACCCTTTTATTTCCGTAGATAACAAGCACATAAACAGAATCAACCCCATGTGGGAACCCCATTGCAGACACTGTGACTACCACGAGGAGACCGTTGTACATCTTCTCCTTCACTGCCCAAACCTGGCAGTTCTTCGACGCAGGCTCCTACACACACCTACAGACTTACAAAACCTGCTCTACTCTGGCGTTGACCAGATGACAAGGACATGTGGTTACTTGAGGGAGGCATTTGCTCGCAGCTAAAGGGATTTGAAAACAACAACAACAACAACAACAACAACATGTCCGTAGATAAACAAGGTTCCATGTAAATTTTACTGAAAAACATTGATTAAAAGCACAAAATATGTCATTTTTCAGTTTTCAAGGAGTCTTTAGCTATTGGAGCTACCAACTTTGGCGGCCATTGTCTCGCTAAATTCACTACTGAAACCTGGCGACCTCACCTCTTTCAAAAGCAAATATCTTGACTCCTATTCAAGACAGATGATTATTTTTTTCATTGAAAGCAAAACAAATGAATAATAGTTCAGATGACACCAATAGCTTCACATGCCCAAAAATTGACAAGTGCCTGATTCCACCGCGTCGTAACACATTTTAAAGAAAAAAACCAATGGCACAGTTAACAACACTAAACTTTAACCTCAAAACTGACAAACTTCTGCATACTTACCATTTTGTAGAAGGTTCTTCAAACACTTGCGCGCCCTGACTCGTGAGTCCTCGAAGTTGTATAAGAACTGTGTGTGAGAGAGTTTGTGTGTGTGTGTATGTGTGAGAGAGAGAGAGAGTGGAGAGATAAAGCTATCTGCTATCTCCGTCGTTGTATTCGAAGAATGTCTCTGTCTCTCATGTCACACAATGCTTCCAAATTGTATCACGACGCATTGGAATCAGGCGCTCGTCAAGTTTTGGGCATATTGAGCTATTGCTTCATCTTGAAGGTTGTTCATTTGCCTTGCTTTCTATTTTTTTAAAAGATCTATTTATCTTAAATAGAAGTCGATATATTTGCGATTGAAGGGGGTGGGGTTGCCTGCTTTCAGAAGTAATATCAGCGAGAAAATGGACGTCAAAGTTTGGTGACTTTCTTTGCTTCAGAATCCTTGGAAATTGTAAATTTACATTTGAGTGAGCCTTTAATCAACGTTTTCCATAAAATCCTCACAAAAAAGTGTCTTTGAATGGATATATATATATACACAAGGTGTTGAACTAGAGAAAACAAAAATCCGAAAAAAAATTTCCAAACTGGGTGAAAAATGTCGATTTCTCGGATTTTATTATTTTAACCAGCATCTGATTTCCCCACGACGCTTCCAAATGTGGGAAAAGCTTGTATAATTATAATAATGTTACACAAGGTATACAGCTCTCTACTATCAACTAGTGGTTACAT